TATGCTACTCCCAGGTACTGTCATTCCACTCTGTGCTTTGTCATTCCAGTCCCAGAGTACAGATTCTATTGCTAGGGAGCATCATTCTACTCTGGGTGCTGTCATTCGAGTCCCAGAGCACTATTCCTATTCCTAGGGACCGTCATTCAGTCCCAGAGTAGTCTATCTGGGCCCAGAGACTTTAATACAAAATCCATTCCGCATTTTCTTTGCAACCTCTTTTATGCTGCAATGTATTTGGAGCCCATGCAAGTCAACTGGCATCCTAGCTCCAGTTATCTCCAGTGGGGCTTCAAGCCTCTTCCATGGTTTCAAGTGGGCAATCCTGTCATTCCTTTTAGTACATCCATCTTGGGGTGCCCACAGCCAGACACTCTGCTCCTCTGGAGCTGGGTATTCCTGTTCCCCGGAGTATGCAGCTCGCACCTCGCTAGGAAGTAAAGGGGGGGGGGACAAAAACAGAAAAGACATGGCTATTTAGTGAGGGAGGGCAAGATAAATTAAGGGTGGGACATTGCCTGTTGTCAGCCCCCCCCCCCCGCTACAGGCCTGCTATATTAGTGGATGATGAGGATGTTGCCAGCAAAGGCCAGTTATATTGGGTTAAGACAATTGGTAAAACCTGTGATCAGCAGCAGATTAGCATACAGCCTAATAAAATACTTTACAAACAGATGAGTGAACTGAATGACGTTAGCATGTATATAGATTCAGGTGGGTAGCTGTGTTGGTCTGGAGCAATAGAACAAAGTTTGAGTCCAGTGACACCTTTAAGACCAACAAAGTTTAATTCTGGGTATCCTTAGTCACATACAATACCAAATATTTTAAATCATTCTCACCATGACCCTCTTTGAGAAAATGCTCTGTAAGTGAAGTGAAGTTTTTATTTTTCATACAACATTGGCCATTGTACAGGCGGAGGAATGATATAAAGTTATTTTTTGGTTTCCTGGTAGATTAAAAATGGAGCCTTCTGATGTTATCGAACAAATTTTGCACCTTTTGCATTTGAAATGGCCACTAGGGGGCAGTTCTGTCTTTTTATCACATTTGTCTCTCTCTTCTTTTGAAGATTACATTTTCAGAGCACTTATTAAGAATTGCAACCAGTGTTCCCTCGAAACCAAATTAGTGTGAGCTAGCTCACATTTTGTTAGCCTCTGGCTCACACATTTTTGTCTTAGCTCAGGAAAGATGGCTCCAGAGTAAACTAATTTATGCAGTAGCCAAATTACTTGCTCACAACTTTAATGCCAGTAGCTCACAAAGTAGAATTTTTGCTCACAAGACTCCACAGCTTAGAGGGAGCATTGATTGCAACCCATTTTGTCTAAAAGCCTTCATCATTCCTGAACATTGCCGGGGAGTTGTAAAGTCTTGATCCTCCAGGAATTTTGTTTTCTCTACAGTACCTCATTAAGGAGGATGCATGAAGTTTTAACCTTACATCTTTCTTTTTAAAATATTGTAATTGACTCCAATCATTACAACTATCCCCTTCCACATTTCCAAATGAAACTGGCAATTCTGTTAATAGTCTGATTTTATCCTCCTCAGAGTAAGCAAATATCTATGCATTTATAAAAAAGATGTTAACACTACTTATGAAATATTTATAAAACTGTTTACACTAAATGTAATAATCATATCACGGTTGTATGTAGTTTGACTGTCTCACCTGGAAGTTGGCAACATTAGTTCCCCTGCAGGAAAGGATTGCTTTGGAGGGTGGAGTCTATGACATTATATATGTCTGAAGTCCCTCCCCACCTCAATCCCCACCATCCTCAGGCTCCACCCCTTAAATATCCAGGAGTTTCCCAACCTAGAGTTGGTATCTCTATCTCCTTCCCACTGCCTTCTACTCAAGCTCTGATCCGCAAGCATATTTTGCTTGATTTTATCTCATTTTAAACTGTTGTAGCTGGTCTTTTAGTGGCTGTAAATCCTTTGTAGCTTTGCGGGTTGTTGATCTTTTAAAGTGTGTTTTCCCCGGTTTTATTAGCCACAGAGTGGTTTGTTTTAGCAGCTCCGCTGGGCAGTGTTCCAACACGGCTCGCCTGCTTTCGTGGAAATTGCCTAATGCTTAGTTCAGTCTTACTGGTTTGCTCTTTTTCTTTTGTCTTTTTGAAATTCTGTTGATTGTTCCTCAGCCTAGATTTAGTTGGATGATGATGTAACGGCTAGTGGCTTTGTTTTGAGGAGATTGTTTTAAATCTTGTTAAATCGGTTAATTAAGCTGTGTCCTAGTTGAGCTTGCTAGCCTCTATTTCTCTCATCATTTTTGAATGATGTGTTTTGCTAGACTAAGGCTGGCCTTGGTTTATTTAGATAGCTCAGCTTGTTTTTATTCTGTTGCTTTACAGGCGATCTCCATCAATAAATAAAAAGAGACTCAGCGTAGGAGTTTTTAACCTTAAAATACATTTTATGGAATTGCCCTCTAGGGTTCACTTTTTTATATTTGACTATTATGTTTTAAATTAGGTTTCCATTATTATTAGCTTTGTTTTTTGCTCCATAAGAGTCATAATTAGTATTCATCTAACACATTTACTAGAGTACAAGCAAATCCAGCGGCTCCAGGTAGATTTAGATTAATTACATTAATCAGCTGACCAACTGCAACAACTATGAGGAAGAAAAGAGCAGTACCCTTGGAGGGATACATGCTGGTTTGTAAACAGAGTAGAATGGAAGAGGGTTTTTTTAAAAAAACAAAAAAGCCCTCACCAACAACAATCTCTAATAGATTTGACTGTTTAGCTAATGAATCCTCAGCTCCTTGTAATTTTAATGACCTCTGAGTATGTTCTCAAGAGGACCCTCCAATCAACATGGAAGCCTTTGAGGAGATTTTGAGAAAAAATGCTACCACAAATAAGAGACCAGAGACATTCGCTCTGTTAACATCTCAGACTCTTCTAGTCTCAGAAACTTTACAAAAATATTTGAAAGGATTGATCTACTCACTAAGCAGATTGGTACTCTTTTACATAAACCATGTGGGAAGGAATGCTCCGTCCCTGAAGTCAAGAGGTTTTCAGAACAACCATTGCCACCTTCATCCTTATATAACACTGCTATTGGTAAGGGGCTGACTGAGGAGAAAGAGAGGGAAAGGATGGATGGAGAATCCAAGGGCAATATTGGTATCTCTCATCCTGTCCTCCCATCACTGACCTTGGAACTTAACAAAACTGCTAATTTACAATATCTTACTCATGCTTTGATATATATACCCAAGCACCTTGGATTAAAGATGCCAAGCTTACTCATATAAAGGACCTGCCACCTGCTGAGAATGAGCCTCCGACAAAACATCCCCTTTCCACCCACCAGCCAACCTACCTTTATCTGCCACTCTTCAGCTTTCCATTACCTTTTCCCTTGTAGCTTCTACCGAGGAAAACTGCAGTCTTTCTCCACAGTGGGGACAAAAGCAGTCTACATTATTCTCTCTTCCTTTTTATCTACCCAACAACCCCATGAGATAGGTTAGGCTGAAAGTATGTGACTGGTCCAAAATAACCCAATGAGCTTCCACAGCAAGATGGGGATCTAAACCTGGGTCTCACAAACCCTACTCTGAAGCTCTGACCATTATACTGCACTGACTTTCATAGGGTGGCAGCTGTGGAACAATAGCAAGCAGCCAGGCCTAGCTGAATCATGCAAGTCAGGTGGTATCAAGTCAACCAGAGGGTGCTACTAGGCCTAGGTTTGCCAGCCTCCAGGTAGGACCTGGAGATTCCCCCAGAATTACAACTGAACTGCAGAAAACAGAGATCTGTCCCCCTGGAGAAAAGGAGTGGACTGTGGCATTATATCTAGCTGAGGCCTCTCCCCTCCCCAAACTCTGCACTCCTCAGACTTCACCACAGAATCACCAGGACTTTCCCAACCTGTAGCAGGCAATCCTAGTCCCTGGCCTGACTCCAAACCCCTGCTGTTTAGCCATTCATACTGCAGGAGGAATCCTCCCCTATCGGAGCTCCAGTTCTGCTTTCTGCTGCCTCCCCTTTCTGTCTCTCAGCTAGTCTACCTCTCACTGTCAATGTGGTGGGGCCTTGAGGTGGCCATTTCAGAAAATATTTGGGGGGGGGGGTTTCAATCCTCCCTCAGGGTTCTCTTTTTACTTTTATTGGTTTTTCTGCAGTCCCAGGGGCTCACCAGAGTCTGTAGAAAAATCTGTTGGGGAGAATGTGCCCCCTATCTGTGGAAATAAGTATCACATGTAGAGGGGACTGTTGATAAATAGTTATATAGATTACAAGCAGCACCATGTGCAAGACTGGAAAAGGAGAAATTCAGACAGAGAAGCAGACAGCCACAGCAGAGGGGTGAGATGGAGCACACGGTGGAATCTCTCTCTCTTTCTCAGGACGAGATGTGAGGTTGGGATATGCTGTCCTGTAAGAATGCCCGTGCCCTTCTATTTGTACATAAAACAAATACCCTCTACATTATAAGACTACACTACTTTCTCCTTCTAAGGGAACCCAACCCTGATGAGTATCCTCGCTGCTTGTAGAAGTGGGGTGAGTGGAACAACAGCAGGAGTCTCTCAGTGCAGGCAGCCAAAAACATGGGTACTCCTCCAGAGTAATTACCTCTCATCTAAAGCTCAGGTGGGAGCTGTTCCTGCCACTCCTGTTGCCACAGTTTCTTCAATGCTCTTGTCTCTAAAGCAGATTATGAACTTCGAGGCACAAAGCTCAGCCAGGAAGGCAGGCAGGACTAGAGGAACTGGCAAGTGCACAAAAGGCTGCCACTCACCAGTGTGAACAAAGAGAAAGCAACTGCAACTGAACCTCACCCAACAAAACCAGGGCAGGGATTTTCCCCAAGACTCTTGCCAGGAAATACTTGTTTTCTTGGGGTAAGGTCTTGCAAAATCCTCAAACTTCCCTGCTCCCCCTCCCTTTTCTGCCACTCTTCTCCAGCTCATAAATGTCTGAGGGTGACCGAGGATTTCCCCACTGTGTTCCAAGCATCAGGAAGACTCTGCAGTTCCCTTATCCAGATGCTGCAGCAGCTGTAGCTGGACTCAACAACAGAAGGGGAGAGGAACCACAGGAGACGACTGGGTGTGAAAGGTAAGTTTCAGTTTCAATGCAAGTGTTTGCTATGGTCCCCCACCCCCAAGCCTTGAAGAGTTCTCAGAAAGCGCTTCTGCTTTGGAATTAGTGCCACATTCAAGTGTTTGCAGTCACCTGTGCAAGAATGTGATGCAATGTCTAGGAAAAGCTATTCACTCTGTCCTTTTTCTTTATCTCTGTCTCTCCATCCCTCCCCACTTTGTTGACACAACAAAATGATTGCAGATGACAGATTAGGATATCAGGGCCAAAGTAGACATTCCACACAAACAAGAGCCAGTGTAATGCAGTGGTTAGAGTACTGACTAGGCTTGGGGAAACCCAGGTTTGAATCCTCACTCTGCCATGAAAGCTTAAAGCTTACTGGGTGACTGTGGACCATCACGTACTCTCAGCCTAACCTACCTCACAGGGTTGTTGTGATGAGGACAAAAAGGAGGAAGGGAGAGTGATGTTGTAAGCTGCTTCGGGTTCCCATTGGGGAGGGAAGTGGGGTATCAATAACAGAACCAAACAAACAAATGGGTGTAATGTTTCTCCAATGGCCCATAGAGAAAGACACTTCCAGGCTCAAGCAGCTGCCAAATTCCCTCAAAGCTGGGGAAAAGCTGGTTGTGGGGGAGGATTTGGAGTGCAGAAACTCTGGTGGGGACAAAGTCAACAGTTGTCCTCCTCCATTTTACTTTCCAGGCAGCAGGGGTTTTTTTCCATTCAAGAAAGTCTCTAATAGAGAGTAGTAGCAGGTACTTGGGATATCTGGGGCCCCAAACACCAAAGGAACTATTTGCTATCACAAGAAACAATAGATAAATGCAGCCAACAAACAGAACTTTCCCAAACACATTCCATAGACATTTTGCATGGATTTAACACAAGAATCTCCCACTTTAAATAAAGGCGAAACTTGTGCACATTAGATGAGGGGGATCTATTACTTTAGCAATGTTATACACCTTCCGCAGTGCTCTGTTTACTTTCCAGGCATTCTGATTGGATTCATGATTACTCTAAGCTGCTTGTCATTCTGTAGGCAGGACGCTGCCAAATGACTGGGTGTAGGATGACAGCCTAAACTAGAACATCAGGTTTCGTCCACTGGTGAGATTGGTCAAGTGAGCTAAGAGGCAGTACTTGGCCAGTGCACAGAAGATGGGGAGAGGCAGCCCTAGAAAGCAAGGAAAGCCAAGTCATAATCACAGTGGGGGTCTCTGGCCAGCTGCACAGCGCTGTGGTCCCAGCATTGTGGGTTAGCCAGCAACTGCTCACCAGCAGAGCACAGAGCCAGCTTTTCACTGCCTCCGACACCCTCTAGTAAGGACATGGATTCCTCTTCTGCCAAATGTTTTCCCATGCTCCTCCTCACTGGCTGTATCAGTTCATTTAAAGGGGGAAAGCAAACTGAGGTGGAAAAATGTAAACCCACATTTGTGTTTTTCAAATTATAGTGAAACTGCAGTTGTGCAGAAGGATCTCAGTTGACTCCATAGTGTGAGTGTTAATTCTTAGACGTTAACTTGCAGGTTTATCACATCATTACTCTAGATATTACTTACGATTGTTGGAAGTGCTCTTCCTCAGCTTGGATTTTTGCCAGTCTTGTATTCCCTATATGTTTATTGCTTTACTGGCCAACCCTCCCATCCCAAAAAAAACCCAAACCCTCTGAAATATGCAAGTGCATTTTTCAAATTGTATTTTTAATGGTACATTAAATTAGAAACTGTGACATTGTTATTTAAGACAGAAAAAATGAGACGACCTTTCTAAAGTCCTAACGTGAATGATGACGGGTGATTTACAATTGTTTGAAATAATAACAAAGCCTTCGGGGGGGTAGGGTGGGATATAAATCCAAAAATAAATAAATAAATAAAAAGTAATCCAAGTGCATACTAAAATATTTGCCAGCAGTTTCAATCTCACAATCATTCACTCCATGGACTGGGGGGAAAGTTAATAAATGTTAAGAGCACTTGACTTTTGAGACATTCTTTCAAAATAGGGTTGCCATTCTCCAGGCAGTGGCTGGAGATATCCAGCTATTGCAGCTGATCTCCAGGCAACAGAACTCTGTTCACCTGGAGCAAATGGCCACTTTGGAAGTTGAACTCTATGGCATTATGCCCCAAACTCTGCCCTTCTGAGGCTCCACCCCCAAAATCTCCAGATATTTCCCAACCTGGAGCTGGCAATCCTATTTCAAAACCATTATAGAGCAGAGTGTTTTCAACATACCAGCTGTTTGTGCAATGGGGCAGTCAAAATACTGGACATTCCAGTTAAAGTTGCACAGAGTCTTTTTGCTGGAGTGTGTATGTGTCTGTGAGTGTGTGAAGTGTCGTCAAGTCACAGCTGACTTATGGTGACATCAGCAAGGGGCTTTCAAGGCACGTGAGGAGCAGAGGTGGTTTGCCATTGCCTTCCTCTGCAGAGTCTTCCTTGGAGATCTCCTTTCTAAGTACTGACCTTTCTTATTTCCCAAGATCTGACAAGATCAGGCTGTACCATTCAGCCTTTTCTCCTTGCGGGCCTAAATTTAACCTCTCTCCGGATATATACATTTGACTAGGAATAAGGCCTGTTGTGGAAATAAATACAACGAGATCTAGGAAGAGGCTCTGGGAGAGTGCTCCGGTTTTGGGGCAAACAGTGTCAATTTGCTGTGGTGACCTCAGCAAGGTATAATGACAGAGTCCACTGTCATTATCAGTTCAGAGGAACTGATCTCTGCTACCTGAAGAGCAGTTGTAATTTTAAGTGGTCTCCAGCCCTCACCTGGAGATTGGCAACAATTGTTACCCAGGGTGAAATGGCTGGTTTGGAGGGTGGAGTCTATGGCATTCTGTCTGAGGTCCAACCCCTCCTCAAACCCCACCCTCTCCAGGCTCCACCCCTCAAATCCCCAGGAATTTGCCAGCCTGGAGTTGGCAACCCTATCTCCTTTCCAGCTAACCATCAACCTGCCATTATCTGCCCCTTTGACTTCAGCTGACGTCTGCCCTACCTTCTGCAGAGCAGTTGTAATTCTGAGTGGTCTCCAGCCCTCACCTGGAGATTGGCAACAATGGTTCCCCATGAGGGACTGGTTGGTTTGGAGGGTGGAGTCTATGGCATTGTACCTGTCTGAGGTCCCACCCCTCCTCAAACCTCACCCTCTTCAGGCTCCATCCCTCAAATCTCCAGGAATTTCCCACCTGGAGCTGGCAACCCTATCAGGACTGGCCCCAATGTGTTTTCTCCCAAAGGCCAAAATAGGTGACAGGACGAAGCTTAGCTGCCTACCAACAGGCACTGAGGGGAAAGTAGGATTGCCAGCTCTAAGGAGGGAAATACCTGGAGATTTGGAGGGTGGATCCTGTGGAGGGCAGCATTGGGCGGGGGGGCGGAAGGACTCAGCAGGTATTATGTCATAGGGTCTACCCTCCAAAGCAGCCATTTTCTCCGGGGGAACTGATCTCTGTCATCTGGAGATCAATTGTAGCAGTGGGAGATCTCCAGGTCCCACCTGGAGATTGGCAACTGTAGGGGAAAGTCAGCTGCACAGCAGGGGGTTGAAGAGAATGGTTTGATGGCTGCTGGGCCAAGATTGGCAACAATAGTTCCCCAGGAGCAAATGGCTGGTTTGGAGGGTGGAGTCTATGGCACTGTACCTGTCTGAGGTCCCCTCACCCTCTCCGGGCTCCACCCCCCAAATCTCCATGAATTTCCATACATTAAGCTAGCGACTTTATCTCCTCCCCTCTCAGCAGCCTCTTTCTAGGCAAAATTCTGTCTTTCTCATTAGTGGGGAGCAAAACAGCTTACTTCATTCTCTTCGACTTTGCGATCTTTGCAGCAACGCTGTAAAGTAGGTTAGGCAGAAAGTCTGTGGCTGGTCTGAAATCACCCAGGCAGCTTCCATAGGGATGCTCCTGCTGAACAGGAGCAAGCAGCCAGGGCTAGTGATGCCATGCCAGTCTGGAGGCATGAAGTCACTCTGAGAGTGCTTGCAGGCTTAGGGTTGCCATTGCCAACAAAGTCAAATTGATGCAAAGGAGGATGGAAAAGTCTCCATATCTCTATTTTGCCTTAAATTGGTTTTGATGCCAGCAGAGTGAGAAAATGCCAAAGGCTCTGGGTGGGTGCCCCATGGTAAATGCACCAAACAATTCCTAAAGATTTTCCAAAACACTACTCTGTCGATAAATCGTTTTCTACACTCACAGCATCCCCTGCCAGAATGCAACACATCCAGTGTTCCCTCTAAGCTGAGTTAGTGTGAGCTAGCTCACAGTTTTTTAGCCTCCGGCTCACTGATTTTTGTCTTAGCTCAGAAAGGATGGCTCGAGAGCAAACTAATTCACGCAGCAGCCAAATCACTTACTCACAACTTTAATGCTAGGAGCTCACCAAGTAGAATTTTTGTTCACAGGACTCCACAGCTTAGAGGGAGCCTTGAACACATCCCCAGCACCAAAGCTTTAAGAGCTCTCCAGCTGTCACCTGGAGATTGGCAAAAGCTTGTTTGGAGGGTGGGGTCTATGGCATTGTATCTGTCTGAGGTCCCCCTCTTCCTCCTCCTCAGCCCCCACCCTCAGCAGGTTTCTCCCAGATGTACGGTTTCTATCGACTCTGCTGTCTTTTAAATGTACAAATGTCCCATTGTTTTGTAGTTACTTTTCTTGTGACAGGTCCTGGAAAGGTTTATATGCTTTTAAGATAATGTTTCAATGTAAAAAAGAAGAAACTTATAAATTGAACATTCTACATGCATATGTGGTATAATTGCATGAAAAACCACTTGTCTAGATGCTCCCCAATGCACATAAACAGAAAACAGATGATATTGCGATGACTTTTTGGTAGCTTTTGCAATAATTACAGTGAGATTTTCTGTCTTCAGTTTGCATTTATGTCAACAAGCAAGCTAATGTGGGGCCATATCTTGAAAGAAAGAAAGTACAGCAACTTCCAGACCACTTTGGGCCTGAACGGCCTTCCATGGTGCTACAGCAGGC